GGTGGCCAGGAAATCTGCGATCGAAAAGGTTCGGCCCATCGCTCCAAACGTCGTTGAAGATTAGTGATTAGCAAGCCATCATCTTCGCAGATTGTTTCGCTTACTCCTGATCGGAAGCTCTCGGTGACTTGAATGAGGTGGAACAGTTTTCCAGTATTATCAGAGTGATTTGCATGTTCAAGCTCTTTAGCATCTTCACACCACCAAGTCTTACGGTCCTTCTGTAAGCTGCTACGCAATGCTCGATGCAGGTATCTAAGTTCCTCACTACAGCTGGTATCGGCTGTGATCAAGCGCCGTCCGTCAATCAGCGACAGGGAGGCACTGGTGTTCCAGCTTTTTGGAGGGTGACAAGCAAATCCACAACTGACAGTACTGGCAGAAATTAAAGCATCTTTGATGCGCATCCATTGCGAATTGAGACCATCGTCGAAAGAAGTAAGTAATGTTGTCAGAGAAGCCCGGCACTTGGCTTACGTTGCGTATTTTCGACGTTTGGTCCGTAGTGAGTACGTCTGGATGATCCTCCGAGACGCATGCACATTTGGGTGCGAGCCAGTGTGTGATCGGAGTCCAGTCAAGTTGACCAGTACGAGCTGCAGTCTGTTACGTTTCCGCACCATCTGTAGCTTATTGTTATGTGGTCAAAAAGAAGGTGAACGCCAGGTAGCAGTCTGTCTTTTTGAGTGATGTAATTTGGTGTGTAAGGACATAGGTTTCGTCGTTGCACTCACGGATATACTCCGAGAAGCAGAGGCAACAAAAGAACAACATCGCGTGCTCGCTACGGTCAAGTGATACATCCGTTGTCACGGCGTCGGTCATTAGTATCACCTTGGCGAGCACAATGTCCAAAACAGAAAGTGCATCACCCGTGGGGAATAGCTTGAGAGATGTGATATGGTTTTACAGGGGTACATCGGCAATCGCTTCTCAAGTCAGTCTTGAATGGCTCGCTCTTCGATGCTGGGACAGCGAATGCTTGAAGATTAAAGTCGCCAGCAGCAGAACATGACTGTGTGGTCGTGTCAGGACTCGTCTCATTGCAGAAGCTAGACAATGATCCATTTCTTAGGTGGATATTGCTATTGCTACTAAACACACATCACCACGGCTTAGGTGCATATAACACAAAAGAGAATCGACGAGTTGCGTTTCTGGATCGTCAATGATAACAACCTGTAAGTCGGATCGATACTAGAGAAGCATTCCGCCTCGTCTGCTAGGTCGATCGCTTCGTATGGAAGTCATGCCGAGAAGAGCAATCCCAACGTCGGGGAGCTCCGTGTGCAGCCATGTTTCGGTCCAAAGGCGTGGAGACGTGACGAATAAGAAGTTCGGTTAGCTTGCTGAGAAGACTTGTGCATTGGTATACAAGCCGGTGAGGTCATCGGAGGTCAGAAGGGTGTGTATGGATGCTGATTTCCAGGAAGGGTCTATACCGATCCTTGCAGGGTCGGCTGCCGGTAGTTATGTTGTAGGACCGAATAAGCGGGCCTTAGTGCTAGTCCAGGTTGTTGTGTCTAGTTCTCAGTGCCAGCAAGAGGGTGACCGTCCTGTCCTCCTTCAGCTGTCAGCGTATTTTGGTATTGTCTCTGTTATGAGCTGCACGGTGACGGAATTGTATTGGTAAGTTGCCCGCTTAATGTTACTTTGCCTATCGCCCTTATATGTATTTCGGATGGCAGCATTTTAGGCTTTTTGTTCCATATTTTGATCACATGTTCTGCCATCATTTCGGAGTGCAATAATACTTCCACCACTCGAGGACCACACCCTTTGTAATTAGATGACGGCGGCAACCTTAAAGTCAAATTAGCGATAATGTTTACGAGTGAGACTGTTTCGCGAATACAACGCCATTTATCCCAGTCACGTGCATTGACCTCTAGCTCGCTCGATATCTGGAGCTCGGGGATATCGTAAACAAGGATAGGTATTACGTCTTGTTTTTTACAGAAGCTATTCCGATTTTGCTTGCGTTCCTGGCGTTTGCTCCAAGGAACAGCCGGAAAAATTCGAACAGTGCATGTGGTGGTACGGGCGCGAGTGGCTGACTAGAGTATTGCCTCCGCATGATTATCTGACTGAGGTGTCACCTGAAGTAAACGCCGTTCACCGTGGTGTATGGAGTATGGGTGACGGACGAGGCGCATGATAACGACTAACCTACCTTGAACCCATACTATTGGACAAAGGGAGTTCCAATGTTTCTTGTCGTCTAGTAACTTAACTGTTATGGAGTTCGCCCCAAATGCAGTCAGATTACAGCACATAACAGTCAGAGCATTATAGTAGTGTTTCATGTTCACCTTTTTGGAGGGACCAGTGATTGTTTTCTTCAGTTGAGCAACTGATGGAGTCTTGAGCCCCTTGGTGGTATTGGTAGTATTAACTGAATCTAGTTTGACGGCCGGGGTTACGGGGGGTTACAATGGGAAGTGCCTCTGTCAAATGGGTAGCAACAACGGGCCGGCATGTTTTCTGACCTTTATCATTGTTCTATGTGGCGGGTGGTTCTGTGGAAGAATGTGTGGCGAACGCAATTTTATGAGCACCCAGTAGTGTTGGGGTGGCTAATTCTGAATCGCTCCTCCTATTTTCGATATGGCTACACAGTCCTGAATTGAAGCCTTTTGTTGAGCGTCCAATTCGAGGTATTGATTTGCCTGGTTCCTGTGGGACAGCTTTCACGGCTGCTACTTTTTCACAATGTTTGTCAGCCTATCGCAATTATGTGCCAACAACTTTACTTATCTGACGTGTGGAATAGACGTATGCTCAGTGCAGAACCAGAGGGAATCAATCGTACTATTAGGTTTCTTCATCTGGCTGAGACTAAGACGAGCACAGCGAGGATGGAAATTTTTCGGCGATTTATGCATTATGCTCCAACTTGCGCACGTTTACCACAGCTGTCTGGGCCACAAATAAGGACATTTTTGGAAGCCTTAGGTCTAGGTTTCCGTGGGTAGGCAGTGCGTGCCATTTTGCCGTTTGGCCATGTTAGACTCCAACGAATCAGAGCTTACTCAAAGACTGTTGAAATGATCTATCGAGTGAGACCCAAATTGTTGTTCATTGATTGAAATCGTGCAACCTTTGCACGTGGTTATAGGGGAAAAACTACCCGAAGTTTACAGATCAGGTTAAATGTAAATTGCACTGTAGTGTACTGGAGCAAATGGTATCTCGAGGTAGAGCTTGTAAAAACAAGGCGAATAGATACAGATCCAGAAGCATGCCATAAAATGCCACTGGGAAACAGCGAAAAGAATGCAGAGTTCATAACTACGCGATTGGCACACTCGGGTACCGGCAGTCACTACGTACTATCTAGGACCGCGATCTCAAAGTACTCACACAGTTGGAACTTGCCGGGCGAGAACAGACCGAAAAAAGCATCAAAAATGCAGCTCAGCACCTTTAACACTTACGGCCTGTTTTGGGGAAATAGGAGCTATCAATCTTTCCTTAAAGTTGAACACCTATATAAGGCTGCATGTGGTGCACGCGAGCCAGGCCTCGAGTCTCTGGGGTAAACGCGATGTTGATGCACTTGAAGCGAATCAAACGATGTGTTTTCTATCTCTCTCGACAAAGTAACCGTGAGGAAATCTGGGGCAGTGTTCCTGCGCATAGGGTGGTGAGTCAGGTTAATTTCGTGTTAACCTCCGTTTCTCTGTCACATTTCTAATTTTGTTTTTAAATCAATAATAAATCTTACACCGACTATCCTACAGGATCTGTCAAGTAATCGCCTTTTTACCTAATTTGCACTAATGTTCATTTCTCATAATGTAACCAGTGGCTGCCACCAGTGGTTCCTGTGCCTTCGTACACTTTTATGAGTTCTGCACTGTAGATTTCTGATCTCAGAGTGTTTCTAATGTAATGGCATAGGTAAGAGATAATTGGTGGATTGACCACTCGCTACACTAGTTAGAGTAGTAAGTACCGCTACTTATCAGTTACAGGTTCCGAAGTTAACAATATTGAAATGCTGCAACTGTAATTCAAGTGTAACTTTCATCACGTATCTGGTTTCGCTCGGTTACCACGAAGTTTGTCACAGAGAAAGTATTGCCATCTCTTGTTGTGTTACCTACTTAATAAATTATGCTAAATATCCGCAACAAAAATGGCTGTCTCTTCTCCATTCATATCCCTGATCATTATGTTCTGCGCACGAAGCATGCATAACAAACCCGTTTGTTTTACAGCGCAGAATATTCACAAACAGTTATCTTAGTTAAACGTTTCAATAGATACTAGTCACACACACGAACGGCGTTGAACCCTGCAGGGTTTAGTGCACCCGCTAGACTAAGCTATTTTTCGGTACTAATCGATAAGCAAAAATAGCTTTTCCTGTATAAGCATCCAGCAAATGGGTGATGTGATTGCGGACTAGCAGAATATTTTCAGCTTCAAATCTGCATATCATCCATGTTACCTAAACACAAGTGGACATTTGTTCCAGCTTATCGGCACCTAAGAGGATTCACCACTTGCGAAATATTGGGCGTCGTTGTACTCTCTGACGCAGACGGTACGTGCCACAACCTCGTTCATGCCGGGATGACGTTGTGAACAGTCCTTATATTTTCCATTTTTCATGAAATTACGTTTTGGAGAATACTAGTTTACACACAAAATATTTTCCGGTGAGTTTTTTTCTTGCCTTGCTTCCCCTTAGCTGGTGTAACATACTCTTAGTGCTTAGTGCACACTTCACTTCGAGCTAAATCTCAGCGATACTGATTATTAAAGTCGTAACTGCAGGAACGGTAGTTTCCGAGCTGAAAAATGACATTTCGTCCCGATTTCAGCGTTTTTGTCAATTATTTACTGGAAGCTATTTGCCGCAAATCTAACAACTGATTAATGGCTTCTATGCCCGAACTCTTTTACTTTTGCTATATATACTATAAAAGTGCGTTCACATAGCTTGAATAACCAACTTAGTTACAGGCGATTAAAAATGTGACGAAGTTTACCATGTTTTCTGCCAGTGGATTCTTCCAAAATGTCGGATTTTTGGAAGCCAGATGACGACTCAGCTCTCCGAGAGCCCTCCGATGAGGTCTCGTTTTTTTCTCCCAGGTTACCGGAGCCGCTGGCTTCTACACTCCTGTCCTCCAAAAGTAAGAAAGTAGCCATTCGCTCAAATGGTATGTATGGATCATCGAACGGAGTTAAGAATGGGATTGAGACTTGTGGCCTTGTAGTAGTTGCAGATGCACTTGAAGAATTCCCCGTTGCACTTTGAGTTTGCACATTGGTCGATGTAATGAAAGGCAGGGTTTCAAGCTGAAGCTTCAGTAACTCATGATTCAGTTCTGAGGGATGGTCAAACATATTTCATAAAAGTAATTAATGAACTTTTCGAATGTCATCTCGTATTTTATTGGTAGGTCGGATAATGCTCGGTTAGCACTACTTCAATTTATGCTGCTCTGTGGAGTTCACAAGCGATTATCGCGGCACATTAAAAGCGTAGTTGGAGAGAGAAAACAAGGAACATGGGGACTGTTTCACCGTTAACAACCCCACCTCGGTGTCCAATGAAGAACAATTTAGGCAGTTGGCGGCTGCACTTAATTAAACTCATCCACCAGTCTTACTGCTGTCTTCCGGTAACCAACTTCAAACAACGTAGCCATTTGCAGCAAATAAATTAGCAATCGTCTAAGCTTAAAAACTGAGCAGAAAGGGCCAACTTATCGCTGCAACAGGAAGGGAAAACTGCTGATTCAATCTCTGTACGCCGACCTTACTCCTCACATCGAATTGTTCGCAGGGTGCATTTATTTGCCACGGCTTCTATCCAACCGATAACAATGTTGTACGGGGTTACCATTTAGTCGGTGGGACAGTGCCAATCAATGTTTATTTCCCCACAAGCCTCAGTCAACTTTCATCTGCTTTTTCTAATTTTAGGCCAGCAGAACAACCTGGACGTCAAATCAACAATATACTTAATAACATTTCGCTCCTTTCTTTTAGGGATTTATGTAATGACTTATAAGATTATATTGTTCACAAACAGTGTACGCTTTTCTTCACCTGGTCATTAAGGCGTAAAATTTTCTGCCTTATACTAAACGCATTTCAGGTTCTAGGCCGCGTACTGTACAACGGACAGTAGCTTGAATCGCAGATGAATGCATTCCGGACTATTGGTTAAACCAACCAACATCCTAACAACTATCTCATGATTTGCACAGCTGGATTCAGCACTCACTCGGTTTGCAACAATTCTATTTGTGCTTCAAAGTTTATGAATCCGGAGCTTTTGGACTAGGTACTGTAAATACAACAGATAGCTGGAAACAAATCAGATAAAAGATGGCTATACGATGGGGAGAGCTTAATATATATCACAGGCCCTCACATAACTGTATACATATAACGCCACAATAGCACATGGCCAGATGAGATGTGGAAGAGAAATGTGGAAGCAGGTCTCCGGGAGACGGTTTCATGATGGGTCGTATTACTCCAAGTAAACTGACAGTTTATATCCACTTTTATTCTTACTCTCAACTTCTACTACTCCTACTCCTTTACTATTTTTAATTGATTTAGCACTGAAACATTCCTATGTGAACACAATAGATCACTGAATATCCCTCTCCACAACCCGACCTTGTTGTACCACATGATCAGGCTCGTAGTCTGCCTGTGTCTCGCATGTAGAGAAATATATCATTTATTTATTTATTTATTAGCTGAAACTTGGCAAATTCAATCAAAACATTGTGGATATCCACCTGAAAATTTGTGTGGAAATCACCGGAGGAAGTGGATACCCCCGGAATGACGTAGGTAATTTGCAAACCAGCGAGGAATAGTTAGTGTCTCCTCAGTCGACATATGGAATATATATCTACTTCTAACCGCTGTGTCAAACACTGCTCACGGAACTCAATGGCCTAGTGATCATGGCGATAGCCGCCAAGCACTATGCCCCGAGTTCCATTCCTAGCTCAGCTATCTCTACCTGATGAGTCTAAACAAAGAAGAAACCGTCGGTCGTGGGGTGCAGGGATAGGAGAGAGCCACACCGAAACCCTCCACTACGGTGGCGGTCTCAGTGACCGTATTGGCAGAGGCTGACTTCCAAGTCAACCGGCGCCACTAGTGAGATTGCGCGTCGCAATCCAAGACAGCGGCGGGTGCTCCAAAAAAGCCCGAAAATCTATATCCACTTTAGTTAGTTCTTCTTATTCATTATGATTTGGTAACAGGAAATAAAAGGAAAGGAAACCCATAGTTACGACAGCGGATGACACAGTTGGGCATGCCGGTAGGCTATTTGGCAGTGCGATTAGTGAAAATACAGGAAAGTGTGTAAAAGGCTTGATAATTAAACCGTGTTTTCGCGCCCATATCCAACAAAAGCTAACTGCAACGGACTCGAACTAGATGATAAGAATCGGGAGAGAGAGAGAGTGCCCGATGCAATAATCCCACTACAACAGTTACAATAGTGTATAAAAATAGCTCTATAACAAATGTGGTACGGTAAAACAAAGTACACGACTAAACACACAAATTGCAAGTTCTCAGTAATCAAATGAAAAGTCAAAAAATAAAAAATTAAGCAGATATTAAAATTTGTTTGCTCATAAGCAGAAAAGTTGGGTTGTTCAACTATTATTAGTATACAAGTTCATCCTAATGAATTTCGAATTGGCTATGATAAAGATGATTTCACCGCAAAGTGTTACTATATATTCACGCGGTAATTTATTTCTCGTATACGACGCAAACTTTGATGCTCATCCTCATGGCTTTTCCTACCTTGTCTTATTTAACGTTGGTCATTCCAAGCAGGTCAAGCAGAAAGGGAAATATTTTATACAAAATTCTAATTGATTCTCCATTAAACTTTGGTCTGTGACCTTAGATCGACTTTTCACGACTTCAGTTCGGATTCATTCACTTATCCAATAGTGTAGTGGATGCAAGTTTATCGATATCAAGTGGAAACGAAATAATGGCTCGTAGCCAGTGCAGTGCAAAGCAATAGACCTTATACAGACGCGATTTACCTTATATTATGACAAGTAGTTGTAAAAGGCATTGATCAAGAGCTTTGGGATAGTTTAATTAATGCGCGGTTGTGCGGCAGACGGACAAACACTGGTGCGGATGCGGAACGTCAGTGGGAAGAAAATGGGTAGGTAATGGTCAGGCGGGTGCCCCATGTTAAGCTCCCAGATACGAAGAAACTTACCTAAGCACAGTTTTCTGCGCAGTCAACGAAGGCATCTTCCTCTTTGAAATCATTATGCGTTCATGTGGCATTAATAGTTGTGACCAAACTGACATGTTGGTTCATGACGATTTGAGATGTGTTATTTGATCAACCTTCATGCAGGATCAGTGTAATACATAGATGATTCCAAGAAAGCAGCTATGCTAATGAACCTAGGTAGATACTTTGCCACGGCTGGCTCACAAATACAAACTTCTAAACTTAAACTTTGAAAACTATTGCTACAAATTACTAGTTGTGAACTTTTGGAGCTGGAAAAAGATATGAAAGTCGGAACATACACATTTTACTGTCGGTTTCTGTTACACTGACCAACACGGGCAACTTTTCACATTACGTTAGCCAGAGAATGATTCCTATCATGTTACAATTGATCTGATTCATCCGTCCAGAACAGTTTACCTCAGTCCTAAGAACCAGAAGTCATGAATAGCAAATGATCATAACATAGCTTTAATGGGCACCAGTAACTGGCCGTTGTGACACCATGTTGTGTTCTGCTAAGCTACCAAAGGTCGGTCGGGATACAGTGGAACAGTTGTTAAATACCTAGTAAATACATTATAGACAAAAAGTTATTCCCAAAAATCGTTACTTCAGTTCATAATCATATGCTTTACAACATTATAAGCACTATGTGCCTTTGCAGTTTTAAGGAAGCTTAGTTGCATACTCGATTCATCGGCATCGGTTCTACGCTGGCGGAGGAAGTGTCGGATAATAATGTTGAAAGTGGAACAGCCGTAAGCGCAATTATCTCTACGACTATAAGGTAGATGCTATTACAGGCTGAAGAAGAGCTTTTGCACCAGTAATACTAACCATATAACAAATAATAATGAAAATAATAAAGGGTATCAGGATAATTACGTTCAAGTACACAGCAGATCTCCAGTGGAAAAAGTACCAACGCTAGCAATCAAGAGAAAGAAGTTTCCTGTTCTTATCATTCAAAGAGAATCATGTTACGAACGGTGTTGGCTGAAGATTAGATCTGCCCTATCATACAGCTACACGTCCATTCAACTGCGACACATCAACTGCACGCGAAGGAATGTTTCCCACAACCAACAAAGGGATTCGCTAAACAGTTCAGCCTCTTACGCTGAATACCGGTTCATCTGCAGTTACAGTGAGGCCTATATGAGCCGAACTGACCATGGACTGGCCCAAAATATGAGTTAACATCTTCCAAAGTGGTTAAACCCGTCGCTATGACAACAACATGAAGTGGATCAAAGAATGGACAAGAACCCGCTTAGTCCATCATCAAGCCAATCTGGCAATTTCTTTCAAACCATTATTATGTAACCTTACGTAGAAACTTCTGATCATCAGAGATGAGTTGTTATTAAGGACGAAGCTTCCGGTAACAGACACACAGAAACAATTAATTCAATCGGTAGGATTACCTTTGTACTAATTCTGCAATATTCATTTGTCACTACTGTAGCCTATTTGTGTTACTAGGACTCCCACGTCTAAAGTTGTGAATGCATTTCATGCATACATTGCGCTGCAACTGACGAGAGAAAACAAAATACTGATATCTTGTAAGTGGTGTCGCCCTTCTGCTCTGATGAAGTGGTTACAGGGGATTCGGAGTGTCAGGTAAATGGAATAACGAAGTATGTGTCCCGTCGACATTGACTTACCTTCAATACTTAGGCCACTCTGTTTTGCGAAATATGCCAGTAGCTGATACCGTGCTGCTCGTGAGCACTCTTGGGATGAACCACTCCCTTTGGTCTCATTTGTATTGTGTCCATTTGTTAAAGTGTTCATATGAAGACTGGCATTCAGTTGCCCCCGTAGACAACTTCGAATGAGTTCTAGTTCCGCTAGATGAAGTTTTTCCGGATCAACTGCATTACCCGATCCGAGGTGCCGACGAATTCCGCCGCGATCGTGTGGGTGGAGAATGACAGGTTGCGTCTCTGCCACACTGCTCCCACTTTTCCGGGAAATCGGTAGATCATCAGATAAAACCTAGTTTTGGTAAAGATCACGCATCTGGTACATTATGTTAGAAACTTTCTCCATTTAAGTACAAGC